CCTTTTCATTGTCTCCATCTCCAAATTGGTGCTGATAACGACTCCCAGTTTAGTATCATCTGCAAGTTTCATTAACATACTGATTGCCTCTTTGTCATTAATAAAAACATCAAATCATTATTTAACGTTCATTGTGCACCAACAATGTATTAGGCATTGTGCAGAGGCGAGAAATAGATGCGTTCTAACTGCAACCTCATTTTCTGGTTCTTCTCCTCAAATAGCTGAATGCAGTTGAGTTTTTGTCCTTTCCATTCTTTGTGGATCCCATGGGAGTCCCTGTTCAGGACCCCGTGTGCCGGGTGGAGTCAGCAAACAACAGAGCTCCTCCCTCCTGAGAGTGTTAACTGTGACCTAAGCGGCCACTGCTCATCTACTGCTATCACTGATCAAGAATCTCTGTCCTGCCAATTTCACCTCATCCCTGGATTTCAACCACATAAACGATCTTTTATTTGCTCATTCAAGCAACAAACATTAATTGAGCACCAACTATGCTCAGCCACCGGGCACAGTTTTTCTGAAAACGCCACACCTTCAAACCCATGTTTCTCATCTCACCCCCCTCCCCTGGAAGGCCAGCCCCTCCCCCCACAGCCCACCTGTGGAGCTATTCAGATTCGCACACTGGGGTTCACGCTGGAGGCTTCCCAGACCTGCCTTCCCTCCTAACGCTACGGTACCCGCTCCTCCTCTGCCATGCTATAGGGCTGCCACATCCTCCCTCCCATGGGGGGGATTGTCTACACCGTGAACCCCCCAGACCCTGAGCCCCTAGGCCAGGGTAGGAAGCTTTGCTTCTCTCTCACTCTCGCCGTGGATTTCTGCCTAGCAGATTACGACGGAAAGCCAATGGCATCCAAGACAGCCGCGCTTTGGCCACTGCCGCTGCGTCCGTACCTGGCCTCGAGGGGTACAGCCAATCTCTCCCAGGACGGACTGCGCGGACTTTGCCGACATTTACCCATGCGGTTTCCAATTTCATCCTGGTGCTTATGTTCGTTCTCTACCCGATTGTGGAGAACGTCAGTTTCCAAGGCGATCCTTTCCCATAGAGTGCTTTGCTGCCGTGGAAACTCATTTCGGAAGGTTCTGGGGCCTTGCTAAGCCCCGCGTGTCTCCCTGGGCTGCGGGGCTGGGGTGTGGCGCCGGGGTCTGTTGATAGAGGACAAGACTCGCAAGGATGCTCAGCCTTCCTTCCTTACCCACAAAGTGGCGGACTGTGACAACAGTAATAACACTTTCCATCTTCCCAGGGCTATTGGGAGAATCAGTTTCTCCTCCAAACAGAACGTAGACTCGGGAGGTCCAATGTTTGTCCGGCAGTGGGCACCATGCCCAGCCCGAGGCCGTCTACACCTGGGGAAGGCCCCGGCCCAGCGGGAGATGCGGGTGTCTCCTCTGCAGTCTCCGAAGGCACCGAGATGGCACGCGGGTGCCTGGGAGGACTCCCTCCCTGCCAGCATTTCCCCGGCCATTGCCCTCACTCACTCAGCTGGATGGAAACAGGCAGGTCTGGGGTGGTTTGTCTCAAGTGGGATGTGAAGTTGAGACACCGGGCTCACACCCTCCCAGGAGCGGAAAGCGAGCCCACGCACCGCTGAGGACGTCTCCGCATGTCAGCGGGTGAACCCGGAGAGAAAGGCCAGGAAGTCTGGGAAGACCCGTGTGTCCAGCTCTGCAGCCCTGACGCCCACTGCTGTGTCACCTGTGGCCACTGGGCCTCTCCGAGCAATGCCAGGGCAAGACCAGCGGGTTGGGAGCGGTGAGCATAGCGGATGGGAAGTGCAGAGAAAAGCGCCCGGCTCAGAGGAGGCTCCAGGTCCCCATGAGGGACTTCCTCCAGCTTAAAGTGAGGCTTCCGCTTCTCGACTGTCTACGCACCTCCCGTGCAAGTGTAGTGGCTGTTTTTCTTTTCAGCCAGACGACTCCGAGGACGGACCACGCTTCCCAACCACACACCGACACACACTCACACGCACGCTTCACACGCGTGCTCACACAACACACGCGTGCTCACACACGTGCTTCACACAGACCCTTCACCAGGCTCTCACACATACAGCAGAAATTTGATTCCTTCACTTGACAAGCATCCGGCAGGTCACTACTGAGTGTCCCACGATGGTAGGAGTCGGCGACGAAGATGCGAAAATGTGCCATTTACAGTGTTAATTTCCTAAATCCCTGGGCAAAACTCACAGGCGGTCCAACTGTCAGATGCTTTTGACGTTTACTCCCTTCTGCATTCCTGGCCTTTCATAAGAGTTGTGATAAGCCGAGACACGCCGGGGAACGAGAAAAAGAAAAGGTCACGCCGCACAGGATCTTTCTTGTGCAGTGAAAAACACATCGCATATATACATTCTGAATGGTTTTCTAGGTCAGTGATAAAAAACAATAAACAAAAAATATGTTTTTTTTTTTTTTTTTTAAAAAACCACCCAGATAATTACCCAGGAGGACAAGAGGATGAATGCCTTTCGTTACTGGAAATTTAGAGGTTTCCACGTGGAGAATTTCACTCCACCTGTCTCTGTGTTAACCACGGGGACTGGCACGGTCGCTCCCGGCATCCCTGCGCAGCTTGAGCCGAGACGCAGGAGGGAAAGTGACCAGACCTGCCATTTCCGGGTCCCAGATGAAGACGGGAGGGAAGAGGGTCCTTCCGTGTCTGGGGTTGGAGCCCTAAGTACTCTCGGTGGGACTGTCATCCACATCTGCAGAGGGACTGTGCGAATGACCTGACAACACTGCCGAAACACACCCTGCGTTTTACTAGCCCTTTATTTCCTCTTTATCCTTAGAGAAACCCCGGGAAGTGCTTTTCATCCTCGTTCTCGCCCCGGTGGCGTGGCCGCAGCCCTTCCTGGCCACGCGGCTGTCAAGCCCTTCACCCTGCAGCTCTGCTTCCCGAGCGGTGCTGGCTCGACCTAGAACGGACGCACCCCCGGGTGGCCTCGGGCAGGGAGGACGGGTGGCGGACAGCAGGCAGAGTCACTGGCAGCGCGTGCTGTTTGTAAATGGCCGAGTCACTCCCCGGTGTAGACAGAGCCAGCTGAGTACTGGACACTGTCCCGGGGCACAGCCACAGCGGTGGTTGTGTCCGTCCCTGAGCGACACCTGCAGACAGTGAGGCCCACGTTCAGGACCACCCTCCACACCAGCACCCGCTGTGGGTGTCAGCTCTGTCCCCGCCCTCTGAGCCTCGCGTCAGTCCCCCAAGAGTCTTTCATCTTGGTAAGTGCTGACACAGACATATAGATATTTTTTTTAAATTTTTGTTGACAAATATAAGTGCCTATATATCAACACATATGTCCATTTATTCTGCTGAAAACAAATTGTTTTTCAGCACAGTGTTTGCTGGGGAAATTTCAGGTCAGCTCCGATTTGATGTCAGCGCAGGCCATCAGGTTTGATGTCCAAGCCCGAGCAGGGAAGAGCGTTCTGGACTGCACTCTGGACAACACCGCCGGGCAGCCGGCCCACCGCGGGCTCTGCCTCCCGTGACTGGCCTCACCTGGGCCGGACTGCGCACTCACGGGCCACGCGCCCTCTCGCGGGCTGACCTGTCCTCCACAAACATGTCGAGATCCCGATCCCCAGAACCTGAGGACGTGACCCTATCTGTGAAGAGGGTGTTTGCAGATGATCAAGTAACATGAGGTCATGAGGGTGGGCTCTACTCCCACATGGCTTTGTCCTTATAGAAAGGAGACGCGTCAACAGACACGGAAGACACACGTGACCCACGATAAAGGCAGAGACCGGGGTGATGTGTCGGCAATCCAGGAATGCCAAGAACAGCCAGCCACCATGGGGGGTGGGGGTGGGGGAGGGGTGTGTGGGGGTAGCGGGGAGACGGGAGTCTTCCTCACACTCTGAGAAGAACCCAGCCCTGCGGATGCCTGGGTCTTGGACATCCAGCCTTCAGATCTGCGAGACAGTATCTATTGTCGGCATTGCCCCGTTCGTGGTCCTCCATCACGGCAGCCCTGGGGCTCGGGCACTCTCCCCCATCGCCTTGACAACGAAGGTCAGACCTCGAGTTTGCACACTGTGCCCCCAGGTCACATGTGGGGAGCTCTCCGTCCCCAACATGCCAGTCACACCAAGCCACCGGCCCTTGTTGGGCTGGACCATCCCTTTGGACACTCTTCCAATGCCCGCTCGTCTGCGGGACCCAGCTCACAGGGCATGTCTGGACAGCTTTCCCTGCGCCCCAAGTCCCGGCTGAATGTGGGTCTGCGGCGCCCCCCACGCCTGCTGTGCGGGCATCTGCCACTGCCCTTGCCACGCTTCTTATGGTCACTGATGACGGGTCCGTCTCGCCTGTTGGACTAGAGCTCCCGGGAGCAGCTAGGGTGGGTCTTCAGTGCCCACAGTGAGCTGCCAGGGCACAAGCTCCACCTCCTTCCGTCTGTACCTTAAGTCACAAAGGACGTTTCTTTAAAACTGAAACCCGGGACAAGTAACTAACTGCCTACTCCCTAGCCTTCAGTCTCACGTTAGTGAAGGAGGAACACACTCCGGTGTGAAGCTCAGACAAGGCAAATGACAATCAAGGTGAAGCACTCTCATCTTTAGGTTACTATTAATTCTCCTGTTAGATAAGAAGTGTCCATATTGATTGTCCTTTTTTCCCCCCAGCAGAAAAAGGAGGCTCACTGATTTTTATGCGGCGTGGCTGCTTTGGCGCCACGGGACCCAGCCAGAGAATGGCTGCCTGGGGTGACTTTCCCAGTGGCTCAGACTATTCAGACAGGAAATCTCAGAAAACGACAGCTCTCTTCCCAGTGACAGAACATCCCTCCCCTGCCCGGCCCTGTCCACCCTCCACCTCCAATCCCCACGTTTTCGATCTTCCGGCCGGCAGTCGACTCAGTGTCTACGAAATATGGAGCCAAGCGGGATCCACAGAAGTCGCCTGTATTCCGGCCAAAATGTATTCGAAAAGATATCCCTTCTGAAGGGGGGACAAACCACGTGAGACGCGATACACTTAAAATATGTATTGAAATTACAAATCAAACTTTTCCATTGGGTTCCAAAGTACAAAACACAACATTAAAAAGCATCCAAACAGCTCTTTTATACATCACAGTGTTAGTGGCACAAAATGTACTGACGTTTCAAAAACACAAACAAATTTGTTGCTTTTGTTTCACCACCACTTGTCAAATACATAATGCATACATGTGCATGACTCATTCATGCATATTTCTATACAAGATTAAAATACACCCATAGTAAAGTGAGCAACGGACGAAAGGAAGGTCAGGCACGTGGCACGTAGCTACCCCTAACTGAAGGCTCCCGGATTGTGGAAGACAGGATTGCACAGATCAGAGGGAGGGTGGAGAGCACGCGCGGCACACACCACAACTGCACGCCCTCCTAGCTGTGATGCACTAGGGTTATATCTAACGCAGGCCGCTTCGTTCCATGGGGAGTTTTGGCAATACCAGTCATGATCTACTTATTTTCATAAGGGGTAGGGTTAATTTTAAGGAATAAACAAGCTTTGGTATTTTTTTAAAAAGAGACCTTCAGGAAGCTTTATACATGCAAAACGTTTTTGATGATATCATTGTGCATACACACACACACACACACACACACACACACAGAGGTGTATTTATTAATAAACGAGAATCTGAGAAATATACAAAAAGCTCACCCTGGTTTCTTCCCATTCCCTAATTTTTTCGTTGACTACCAAGGGAAAATATTCTCTTCTAATTTTTTAAATATCTTCTAACTTTTGTAATGTAAGTGAAAGCAATAAAATCATCTAGAAGTAATTTTGCATCTCTGATAGTCTCTCCCCCACAGGCCCTGTGTGCTGGTCAGGAATTGGCCAGGGTCCCAGCGGGCTACATGGAATAATACGCTGGAGAAAGACAGTTTGTTCCTCCTTCCGCAGGTACTCCTGGGAGCTGAGGAGGAAGGACTGGTTTGGATAGCAATTAATTCATGCGATCAAGGGTTTTGCTTATGCTCAGATCCTAAGCAGTCTCTGCTACGTGAACGTCTCTGGCGATTCCGTGTCTACGCGGCCTTGGCCTGGCGCGGGGAGGAGAAGCTCACTGGCTACAAGGCTGCACGGGCCAGCCTGGGAGGTCAGGAACGTCCTCGGGAGGTCAGTTACCAAAGGGCCGCAGGTAACAGCTCCACCGTGGCCACCCCACCAACCCCGGACAGCAGTCCAGCAGCCGTGGCCTTCCCCACCCCTGTCCCCAGGACTTAAGGACCTCTCAATGAGCAGGTGCCACCTGCTTCCGGGGCCTCAGAGTGAAAGCCACCTGCAAAAGTGAACGTCACTTTCCAATTAAGACAAATCATGCCAGGAAGGGGAAACGAGTCCATCGCTAACTGCAGAACTCCCCCAGTTTTGCTGGGGAGTGATGGCAAGACCCAGGTTCAAATCTACAGCCCTCCCCACCCCCCCGCCCCCCGTGTTCTATTTACATTCTACATCAGGCAAGGTGAATATCACACCACCACAGAAATGGGCATGGCATTCCTTACGGAGAGAGGAGGAGTCTGATAGAATGGAATGCAAGTGTGTGGGCCTCGGTGTGGTCCTGCTGGTGTGTCTATAGGAAATGGACAGTTTTTATTTCATTACTGGATCAAACGGAGGTGTGCTTGATACAAACACTCAGAGCAGAGAGGTGCTCACTGGACTGGCCCTGGCTGGCCCCAGAGCCCCCATGGTCTCCACCTGGGCCAAACCACGTGCTTGTGAGATGAACTGCGGGTGAGGGCAGAGGAGGGCTGGGGCCACAGAAGCTCGTGACGGGGTTGGAGACTCTCTTGCAAGGTAGAAGGACAGCCCGTCCCTCCAGGAATAAGGGGATCTGAGCTCCAGCCTCCAAAGGCTCTGGCTCCCACCCCAAAACAGGGGTGCCACCGTACGGACTCGTGCAAAGGGCAAGAGTCAGCACAGGCAGGAAGGACTGGGATGCAGGGAGGCCAGCCCTGGAAGCAGGACATGGACCTGCCGTCTGCGCTGGGCGTTTTAAAGGGCACCGGCTAGACAGCCGTACCCACAGATCACAGGCTTAACCCTCAAGCCCAGGCCACTGACTCATGGAGCTGTCACCCCTCTCCAGAAAAGCCATTCTACCCCCAGACGCCACTGCAGCACCTCAGAACTGCAGACACTCGCAGCCGGGCTCCAGCCAGAATGACCGTCTCGGGCAGGTTCTTATATAGCCACTGAACTCATCGACTGCAGTTACGGGGAGAATTTTTTGAACATAGTTTTGACACAGCCTGGTTCTCTAAATGGCTTCAGCGTCATAAAGAAAATCAATGCTAGAGGTGAAGAGTGAGGTGACGCTGTTGCTTCCAACCTGGTCCTATTTATGTTAAGAAATAAAGGAGAAATTTCTACACAGGGAAGGTAAGCTAGGACCTGAGCCCGACACACGAATGTGAGTCAAACACACGCAAAATAACCACATTTTAAAGACGTGCTTGTGATGAGCAAGTGACTGAGATAAAATAATTTTGTTTTTGTTTTGCTGCCTCGTAGAACACTTAGTAAGGTTTTTAAAAAAATTCTACTATAATAAATCTACAATATTTGCCTTTCTGCTATTTTTTCAGAAGTTCTAAGTTCAATGCAGTGTATTCTTTAGAAGCACCGGTGGCTCTGAAAGTCAATTCTCTTTAAAGAATCCACTTTCACTTCCTCCACTTTCCAAAGTCAACGGATGGAGAAATGCATCTTCCTACTGACGTGCCCCTTTGGCTGCTGGTGCAACAGTCCCACACAGCCCTGCAGAAGACCGAGTGGTAAATCCCCACATCCGAATAACTAAGTGAAATAAACGAAAAGGTTTTTCCCAGCAAGGGCAAAATGGTTAGCAACAGGACTTGGAACTGTGCAAGATATATGGTTATTCAAAAGGACTGAGGCATTTACAAAATGTAAAAACCCAGGAAGCTCCTCCCCAGCCCCTGGGAGCCCTCCAGCCTCAGCCAGGAGGCTCTGACTCAGAGGATCAATAGCACTGCTTTCTTCTGTCTGCTTGAAGACCGGGGCAAGAGCCAGACTACAGTCATTCCAAGTAGAGCTATATTCCGAGTAAAACAGTCGGTCTGAAGACGATAAAAGGTATTTGCTGCCGCCTGGGTGAGAAGAGATGAGCCCTGCGAGCAGAGTTGAATCACCAAAGAGAGAAAAAAACAAAAAGCAAATCTAATGGAGATGTCCCTTTAAATATGTCAATATTTTCCAGGAAATGCAATGATATAGGAACCACATTTATAACAGTACATAGCTTACAGCGTTCAAAAAGTTATTAAAGCAAGTTTCCAGAAAAACACAAAGAGTGCATAAGGCTTTCTAAATCTCCTGAAAAGTCGTTTAACTGTTAACTTCTTAAAATGCACGTTTCAAGAAAGGCATAGGATGGTTTATATGCACCTTGTTGATTTTCACTACTCGGTTGGAAAAAAAAATGCCTTCTAAAAAGGATTTTACTAAATGCCATTAGTAATAAAAAACAGTCGTCATAAACAGAGTGCTTCGCTCAAGTTGGTGTAAGCGGATTCTGTCTGAAGAGGGTTGCAGTCCTCAAAAGACTTCTCTCAACAGCATGGCACCGTCTGGAGGCCAAGGACGAGACGGACGGCGTTTCCTACGAGAAAGTGTCTTAAGCCACCAGCAGCCGTTCCTGGGCTTCGGAGAGAAGACTGCCTGGTGTGCTTCTGACAGCTCCTCCCTGTCGTCTGCAGAGACTGATCTGTGGGGACGTGCCCTGCCCACACCTGCCCCGCCTTCCCTGCGCCTAGGGACCACCCTGGGGCCTCGGCAAAGGGGACGCCAGTCCCTGAAATCACGGCATCCAGCCTGACACTGTGAAGCTCAATGGGGCACATAAGGCAAGAAAGATGTTTAGTGGGGGGCGGGGGGGGGGGGCGGGGGACGGCCACACTTCCCCGAGGCAGGGGTCTTGTCCCAGCATCGTGCCTTCCTCTAGGTGGGTAGCGGGTCGTCGTCACCTTTGCTACACTTGCACTTGCAGCAGAGCACAAAGGGAGTTGCCAGGAGCAGGAAAGGCGAGGCCACCAAGAGCAAGAGCCCAAATCCAGCAAAAATGCCCACGACCTGGAGGAAGGAAACAAATGAGTAGAGGTAAGGAGGTCTGGTCTGGAGGTTCCATAGCTTAAGTCTGGTTTACCTACCCACCTGTCATCCACCTATCCATCCACCTATCTAACCATCATCCACTCACCCATCCATCCACCCACCCATCTACCATCCATCCACCTACTCATCTACCTATCCATCCATCCACTCAACCACCCATCCACCTATCTAACCATCATCCACTCACCCATCCATCCACCCACCCATCCACCATCCATCCACCCATTCACCTATCTAACCATCATCCACCCATCCATCCACCCACTCACCCATTCATCCATCCATCCACCCACCCATCCATCCAGCCAGCCATCCACTCACCCATTCATCCATTCATCCATCCATCCATCCACCCACCCATCCATCCATGCATCCACTCACCAATTCATCCATCTATCTATCCATCCATCCATCCATCCATCCATCCATCCACTCACCCATTCATCCATCCATCCATCCATCCACCCATTCATCCATCCATCCACCCACTCACCCATTCATCCATTCATCCACCCATCCATCTATCCATTCACTCAACCATTCATCCATCCATCCACCCACCCATCCATCCAGCCAGCCATCCACTCACCCATTCATCCATCCATCCACCCACTCACCCATCCATCACATCCACTTACCTACCCATTCTTCCATCCATCCATCTAACCACCATCCATCCACCCATCTACCCACCCACCCATCCACCCATCACCCACCCATCCATATTTTCTTCCCTTTGTTTTTCCCCTCTCCCTTCCTCCCCTCCCCTCCCTTCCTTCCCTTTCCCCTCTCTTCCCCTCCCCATTTCCACTTAAGCACCAAAACATCGATGCATCTATATAGCCAATTAACTAACAGTTTCCTCTAAGCAACCACCCGGAGCCGGACACTGGACATTGCAAATATAGAGGTGTATATCTGGTGGGAAAAGACGAAGATCTAATCATCTGATAACAACACATTTTACAGAAACTGCCATCAGGTTCCATGTACAAAGGGACGACACCTACACTTGCGGGGGGGAGGGGGCAGACGGCTGAGAGTGTAATGACGGGGCAGTGGTTAGTGTACAGGAAAGCCTGGCATCCGGCTCTGCAGACGAGGGGACGGGAAAGACACAGGCCCGGGACAGCAGAGAATGGCTTCACTCTCGTCCCGCCTGGAGTTTAACGCCCAGCAATGACTGTTACGTATTTTTATTTTTGTTTTAAAAACACGTTTATCCCCAGGTATGAGTAAATGCCAGAAGAAATAAGCCTCAAATGTAGACGTGCTGGCATCTGAATCAGGCAGTGTGGCCGGTCAAAGGAGCACGAAGTTTGCTTTTTGACCGGCCTCTTGCCTCAGCCGCGCCTCCCCAGCACTGCGGAACCGAAATCTGAGGATGGAGTTAGGCCGCCACCTGGTGTGCACAGGGAAGAGTGCACGCATGCGCTCAGCACCTGGCTCTGATTCTAAGTCTGAGCTTCTTCCCTGGGTCTGTTTTTCTCAGCTGTAAAATAAACAACTGGGGTAGAAGATCTCTAAGGGCAATTATCAGCTCTAAAATATGAGGCTATACTGAAGCGTCCCAGATGTGTGAAAGAAAGCATATCTTGACTCAGATTTCTCCTGAAGACCAACGCAAACATACACCACGTGCATGCACACACGTGCATTTATAGATAAGATTGCATATAATAAATTACGCCACGTTGCATCTGTAATTTAGGCTGTGTGCTGCTGCTGAGAATCCACGTTTGTGGCCCAGTTGGCCAAGTTCATTTGTCTGAACAACCTCTCCACGGTGGGATGACCACGTGTCAACCCAGATCACGTTTTGTTAAAATCCGGCGCACGCTGGTATTTCAGAACACACGAAACACACAGGCAGGCCATCCTTACCCGGCGGGCGCTCAAGCGGTGCCAACCACCGGGAACACAACTATCAGTCTCGGAGGGGCCAGAGAGCCTCTGAGGTCAAAACCATGCCGGGACCCACGGCCAACCGCTCGAGCGCTTGCCCAGTGAGACAGGACCTGAGCCAATCTCTGGCGAATCGGTGACAGGCAGATGTGGATGTTGCCAGAGGAGGGCAGCCAGCAGTAAGGAAGGAGATGGGAAGCAAACACCACACAACAGAAATAATCACTATTCGGTGAGCGTGCTGGGGACCTGTGTCAGGCCTTGGTTACATAATGCAGGGGACAGAGAGGCGGGTAAACAGAGAAACCCCCTACAACACAGCATCCTACAACACAACCTAGGGGTTGCTGGCAAACCCCTACAATCAGGGGGTCAGTGAACCCTCCACCTGAGCGCCCTTTACCTGAGACAGACCCGGGCGGAGGTCGTTTCTCTTCTCCACTCAGAAGAGAAGGAAGCGCTGGTGTGGGCAAGATTTTCCCTTGTCAGAGGCCGCCTCCCGAGGAAGGAGGTTTACTCTAGTGGAAGACAAATGCCCCTTTTAACTGCTCTGCGTGGCGGCCGGTGTCTGGGGCAGTGCTGGAAGAACCCTTTGCAGGGCTGGTGTTTACGGCAGACGTGCAGGAGGACAGCCGGAGAGGGAGCGGCTGACGCTCACGCCACCGACACGCACACGGGGGACCTCGGAGTCAGCAACACAGGGGACACGCATGCGCACTGTGTTCCAGGCTTCACGGCCACCCAGCTGTTTCACCTTCCTGTTTGTTTCAGCAGAAGACCTTGCTACTCGGAATAGAAAATATGTCCCTTGGGGCGAAATAAATTGTACAAAACCTTTACCCAGCAAAGACGTGATTTTTCATCCACAGCAGGCTATCTTGTTAGAAAGGCCCACCTGTCAGCGTGCTAGAACGCATGCTGTAAGTGTGTGTAAGTCTTTTACTCCATAAAGACAATGACAGCAGCTGCAGTCATCTCAGGCAGGCAAGCTCAAATCCCCCCAAATCCCGGAGAACAATTTTACTGACCCTCACGGTAATGCAGGTAGAGCTGGAGACTAGGAACCCTGAAAACCAACCAATCACACCGTGAGACCACAGTCCCCAAAATTGGGCATCGTGGGGCACTGGATTGAGGGCATATTTTTGAGTGCCAATGAGGTCTGAGCAGAGCACGGCCCTGCTCGGTAGAGAGGTGTGTCCCTAGGGAGATCGTGAAGCCCAGCTCAGGCGAGGAGCTCTAAGCCACCCACCATCTGCGCCAGGAGACAGGGCACCCGCCCTGCTCATGGCATGCTAAAGCCGTTTGGTGGGTCACGATTAGGGATTAGGACTTTAATAAGCAGAACAGGACAGAAAGTACACGAGCACAGGTGTCTGAAAGGGTGACTAGGTACGGTGCGTGTCTACCTGTGGCCTGTCACAGTCAAATACAATCCAAAAGCCACTGCTCACCAAGCATGTGGCCTGGGCTGAATGCAGTACCTGGAGGAGGTGGAGCTGGAGCAGAGCCTGGCAAAGGCATGGCCGCATCCGGGCTGAGAGGGTGGAGAGCAGAAGAGAAGGGAGAGTAGCAGGAGTGAAGAGGGAGAGTAGCAGGCGGCCGTGTAGGGCTCACCTAGGGGCCACAGGGCTGGCCAGGTCTGCTTGGTAGAGGGCTGGAGCTGAGGTCAGATGAGCAGGGAGGCCGATGTGGAGGACCAGCCGTTCCAGGCAAGACACTGCCAGGTATGTCCTGCCTGAGCATCTTACTCCGCTGCTCTAAAACTTTCTGTGGCTCCCTGGTGCCACACAGTCTTATATCTGCAGCATGACACTTGTCCCTGCCCGATCTCATCACTACTCAGCCCCTGACTTCCCACCTGCTGCATCTCCAGGTCCTCCCCAGCCGGCCCTCCCCCTCCACGGTCACATTCTGCTCTCACATGGTCCCCTCCTCTTGCAAAGTGCTTTCCACAACCTTCTCCATTAGTAACTTTTACAGTCTTCCTTGCAGCTCATTTTTTTGCTTCTAATATCTTAGGCCACCTTGCAATCTTATGAGTCCCCACGGCCTGCACACGAACGTGCTCGGTCAGAATGAGCTGCGCTGCCGGGTTTCAGTCAAAGCCCTGCCGTTGGGAGCCCGAGGGCAGGACGGCAGCAGCCGGGGGAAGGACGGCAGCAGGGGAGACGCGAGAAGCCCAAAACCAGGAAGGACACAGAGGAGGGAGGAGCTCTCTTCAAATGGACGCATTCCCAAAAGGCAGAAAAAGATGAGCCCAAATGACACGAGGAACCCTAAGGAGGGTGGGTGTCCACTCAAACCACTGCACACCTATCACATGTCCGTTGCTCTTTGTCACACCGTGTCCCTGCTCTGCCGCCCCAAACACGATTGCTCCAGGTCCGACTCCACTTTTGTGAACTTGATCTCTTTTGCCTCCCCTGGGGAGGGGGTGCCCAACTGTTCCTTCTCTCTTTGAATGAGGACACACCAGCTCCACGTCACCCACCTCCACTGTCCTCCCGCCGGGAGCAGAACCAGAAAATGCAGCGGCTCTCACAGGCCCCCAGGAGAACACGGCCCTGCCACGTGGACAGGGACACAGAGACCCTGTGCTCCCGCCCCAGCCCGTGAAACCCTCCCACGTGTGGAGAGCAGCGGAAGGAACAAGGACCGTCGGCCTCTTGGGGACGCCTGCACGCCAACGGCACGAAAGGCCAAGCAGGCCGATGTTCACTACTTCGCACGCTACCACTTCCCAAGTGTCTTTCTCTCTGGGCACAGGACCTGGAGGAAAGAGATGAGCAAAGCGGCTCCCACTCTCCAGCCCACCCGTGTGCTCCCCAAGAGAGGTGACACAGACCAGCAATGGTCAGGGCGGGGCCCCGCAAGACGGGACGGAGGCTCCTTCTTGGACAATGATCACAAGAGACTTCGTGGAGTATGTTACACCAGGATTGGGCACGGAGGGGACAGAATTCGGATGTGCGGAGCTGGACAGGGACAGGAAACGCAGAGAAGGAGCCATGGAGGCCAGGGCAGTGGGCAGCGCAGAGGCAGGGCGAGCACGGGCACTGAGCCCAGACGGGGAGGTCCAGAGTGAGCCCCGAGGAGAAGGGAAGACGTGCCGCCAAGACCGGGTCAGGCCGCCCAGGTTCCCAACGTGATCAAGGCTGCTCTGACTGCCGGCTCCAGCCGCAGCCCCGGCCAGAGCCAGGGTCGCCGACCAGCCGCACGGCCAGGCAGCAGCCCGCGGAGAACTTCCACCCAGCAAACGCCACCCTGGGCGGGCGGGAGCCGCCTCTGCTGAGACTTTTTCCCACGGTGGATCCCGGAGCGAAGTCCACGCGAGCATGTTAAGCCAGTGTATCCGGGGAGCTGACTGCCCAACTCCAACCCAGGCCGGGCTCCTCGGGGAAGTCACTGTCTCTCACCTGGAACTCAATTTCTCTATGAGTAAAACGCCAGAGCTGGAGAATGTGACTGCCGAGTTCCTGCCTTGCTCTGACTTTCGGTTTCCGCCAAGGTGTGCCCAGCAGCTTCGGCTCGCACAGCGGCTGTGACCGCAGGGTGTCGGGGAGTCACATGCGGCCACCCCGAGAGGCAGCCAAGGGGACAAGCAGAGCAGGAGAGGGACGCGGCCCCCTCACGGCACCCGCGCTGTGGGGACGGGCGTGGGTGTGGTCATGGGTTGACTCTTGTCCTCCCAAACGCTATGCTGAGGTTCTAACCCGCCAGGACCCCAGAACGGGACTTCACCTGGACACAAGGCCTTTGCAGAGGTAATCAAGGTAAAAGGAGGTTTCAGGGCTGGCTTTCACCCAACATGACGAGTGTCCTTCTAGAAAGGGGGAATCCGGACACGGAACACGCAGAGGGAAAACCACGCCAAGACACACAGGGGAGGGACAGGCATGAAGGAGGACGAAAGTGACGCACCCACAGCCACGGGACACCCGGCAAGCCCCAGAAGCAGGAGGAGGAAGGAAGGATCCCCCCGGGCTCCGGAGACGGCACAGCCCAGAGACGCCTGGATTCCCAGCCTCCGACGTCCAGGATGAGTTTCGGTTGTCCGAGCTCCGGCCCGTAGCGCTTTGCCCCGGCAGCCTGGGCAGGCTCGCAGGGGCGTGGACCGGGGTAGGGACCGAGCTGTGCGTTCACACGAGGAGCGAGAGGTCGCCCCAGCTCCAGCCAACGCTCAGCCCGGGGCGTCCGCTCTGAACACGGCTTTCCTGAGACGCGATTCTCGCACCGCGCGACTCTCCCGTCTGAAGTGCGCAGATTCAAGCTTTGCAGCGTGTTCGCCGAGTTATGCGACCTTCACCCGCCGATTCTGCCACCTGCTTTTGTAAGGAGTTTGCTGGAGCACAGCCACCGAAATCCACGGACATAACTGTCGACGGCCACTTCCGTGCCACCAGGAGTCCACAGTGGCAGCAGAGACCTCACAGCCCACGAGGCCAGGGGTGTCTGCCCTCCCGCCCTTCACTGAGTGCGCCTGTGGGCCGCTGCGGACGGGCTTTGCCACGCCAGCTGCGTTTAAGGAGCTGCAGGTGCAGGGAAGCGAGCCGTGGAGGAGCCGCAGGGGCAGGGGAAGCTTGTCCCAGTCCCGGGCGGCTGCCGGGAGACGGGGCTCTCTCTAAGACGGGGCTTGCAGACCCACCTCGAGCCCCGTGAGAAACGCCTGAGGGGCTCATGGGCTGAAGCCCTTCCAGCCTCCTCCGAGAGCAACCAGGGAGCCTTGGCAGGAGAGACCCTCTTCCTGCCAGTCCCCTCAGCGGCTTCCCACGTCACCCCAGCGAGATCCAAACGTCTTTCCGTGGCCTGCAAAGCCCCACGGGATCTGTCCCTGACATCGTCTCTGGCCACCCCCGCACTCCTGGTTCTACTCTGTCCCCAGGACCTTTGTCCAGGGTTCAGCCCCGCCCTGTGCCCGTCCCTCTGCTGGGCCCGTCCCTCTGCTGGGCCCGTCCCTCTGCTGGGCCCCACTGAGTCGCACGGCCAGCGCCACGTCACTGGGTGGCCGGCCACCGGCACCTCCTCCGAGGAGCCTTCCCAGCCTCTCAAGCTCGCAGACCCCACCCCTCCACGGCCCTCTGCAGCGGATTTGCACTCTGCTGTCCCTGCAGAGAGCACGGCTCCACGAGAGAAGGGCGTGCCCACCTCATGCACCCCTGAGTCTCCAGCCCCTAGAACAGCACCCAGCACACAGTAGGTGACAAATCTGTGTTGAGAGTACAGACACACAGGAACTCACATGAGGCGAAGGCTGCACAGACGTCACTGCACGGGTTGGGGCGGGAGTCTTCCCTTCCCTCTTCCGCTGCCCTGTGACCACCTGGCTCACCCAGGGCCGCGAGAGAACGCTCCTCGTTAGGGCTGAGCCAGGAGCAGCTCAGCACAGTCGGGGGATGCCCACCAAGGTCACGAGCGATGCGTGCGTAATTTAACGTCTGAGGTCGCAGAGTTGTCATGTGCTGAATACAACGCATATTTACTCTGACTCCGGGCAGGGCTGCCGTCGGCACAAGCTCAGATCAGGAAAAGCCAGCGGGAACCACCTCTACCAGCTGTTTGCCTTTCTGGATAGACAGCAGCTCTCCGACCAGTGGGCACATCTTCTGGAAATCTCTCTCCTGCTCCCTGTCTCCCTCTCTTCTCTCTACCCCTCCCCTGCCCTCCCAGAGACCAAAGTTCCAGGTGAGTCCCCTCCTACCTGTGTCCGATGCCAGATCACGGACGCCCGGGAGTGGCCCAGCTTGTTCCGGCAGGGTCCCTTGTCATAGTGTATCAGGAGGAAATCATCCTGCAAGGTGCAGAGAAAGGGCAGGTGAATGAGGGGTTCCTACTCGGTTCAGTGACTATGCCGGCCTTTGCCGTGTTTCTTCCTCTGTGCTCACAGCACGTGGAGACACGCGGGAGGTGACAGCAGAGGGACAGCGTGCAACTGTGCACACACGCCCAGCTGCTGCCACCAGGTGGGCCCAGCTCCTCCCCTGGGGCTTCCCCACCCCCACAGCACAGCCTCGGGCGCTAGAGGGAGCCCTGGACCGGATTTCAGCCCAGCCCGAGGAAGGGCCTCCGAGGCACAGTGTCTTGAGTGTGGACAGGACAGATCTAGGCTGATGCAAGCAAGAGGGCCAGATGGCTGCTGCCAGGGGCTCCTCCGGGGCTGGCTGTGTGGGTTCCACTGGGGTCCTGTGTGGGCTCCACTGGGGTCCTGGGATCGCACGTCCCACCAGCAGGACTGGCTCTCTCCTGGGATGAGGTGCTTCCCTTTACCTCTGACCTGACCTGACCTCCTCCAGCAGCGCCAGGCTCTCACCTGGAGAGCGCTTCCTCTCCACGCAGACCACTGTGACTCTCCTCGTCACTCAAGACCAACGGGGAGACCATCGTCTACCTACCATTCCTCCGACTGCAGAGTGAGCCACCCCTCCTCTCTGGGCACTTGGGGACATTTCACGCACGCGCCCCACCTGGACCTCCCACCCCCCTCACAGGACAGTCCACACGGGGTTCACGGAGCCGGGACCCTCACGGACTCCGTCCCTTGCACTGTGCTCCCCAGCCCAGCGCCTGGAACCGGAAGCTCAGTGAACACCCCCTGGGGTGAGGCCCCCCTCCCGGCTCCTCCACGAACAGGGGCCGCTTCCTACCCTGCAGCAATAAAAGGGGCAGGCAGGTCAACGGGACCAAGGAGGGCGATGGCTCTTGCTCCACGTCACTGAGGCTGCAAACAGATTGCCTCCTTTTGGGAAAACAGTACACAGGACTCTTGTGTCCCAGAGAACAGGAGGTCACTCTTCCAAAAACCAAAGAGAGCCGGACCAGAGTCGCTGTCTTCTGGCCCTTCAAGTCAACTGGGCTGGCACAGTCTGGGTGGCTGCAGCCGCCAGCCTGCCTCTCGCGCCCGAGCGCCCCCGGCCCGAGCGTGCTGGGTTTAGGGGTCCCACCTCCCATGCCTGGACGCACAGTGGTGCACCATTAAATCTCGGCTTTTGCAGCGGTGGCAAAGGCCTGGGCTGGGGCTGGCAGTCCCAGCAGCCGCTGCCGGGCCACCTCCGTGCCTGTAGGCCTCAGCCTGAAAGGAAGGGGGAGCAGTGGGCACAGACCCACTCCCGGCCACCTCCGTCTTCCGTGAAGCAATTCCTGACCACATCCGTCCACTGACAGCTCTCTCCTCCCCGAGCCCTCGCTGTCCTCTCCTTCCACACACGCAGACGAGCTCATTGTCCATGCGCGTGCCTCGCTTTCCCAGACTGCCTACTACAATGTCTTATAGACCGCCTACTACAATGTCTTATAGACCGCCTACTACAATGTCTTATAAAAACAAGCTTTTTAATTATTAATGGTTTTCTGAAACATAGCCAAACCGAGTGGCACTACCCGGTTGGGACGTCTTTACTCATCTCCGCTAGCAGACGTGGACACACCTGGCTGGACGTCAGGGCCACCTGGGCGGCTTATGGACAACGAAGATTCCTGGGCTTCACCCACAGATACTGACCCGCAGGACTAGCTTGGAGCCCGGTCCCCAAACTCCCCCAGTGGTTCTGCCCCAACCTGTCCTGCGACCAGAACTTGGGAAGCCCAGGTGCGCTCGGCTGGGCACACGGGCCTTCCTCAGGGCCAGGACTTATCTTTCCAGCGTCTCTGGTCGGGCTCAGGCCACGTATGGCTTCGAGTCCTTCTGCATCACACCCAGTTCTTTGGTAGCCACCTGGGCAGCACACGTTGGGCTCTTTGCCTGGTGAACGAACTCGCTCAGCGTTTACGTCCTCAGCTGCCCCCCCCCAGCCCCCAGCCCCAGAGACTTGCTGCCACCCCCTCGGGGCGGCAGGGACTTTGCACCCACCCCTGCAGCCTCTTCACAGCAGTGTGTCCCTATCTTGCCTTACGGGGTTTCTCGCCATGGAGATGACACGCTCCTCGAGGAGGCCAAGGACTTCGCCCCCCACCCCCATCTCAACGGCCCCGGCATCCACCTAGGGTGGAGCCGTTGACACTCGGGGCAGGTTTTGAGAACAAGACAAACATTTATTTAAAATGCCCCTTTCCTATCCCCTGACAAATGCACTCTCACACAGTTTTACGATATAGAATGATTTGATTGTGATTTTAAGTTCTTGATGAAGCCCTTGGTCGGAACGATCCCAGGAGGTGCCAGGAACCATCTTTCTGTTGGGAGTGTTTCCCTATGGTTGTCCAGAGAAATTTCATGAAAGTCTTTGCTGGGAACAGAACAGCAGAGCATGCTCCGGAGAGCTACACTCAGCCTGAGGTTCCAAGATAGAAACAGTTCCAGCCCTTTCAGGTTCAACGTTTCCCGCCCAACTCTAGAGATGAGGGTTCTAGAGTTTGCAAAGGGAGACTGGAGCCCGTTCCCGGCCTCACCAGTGTGAGGCTTTGGGGAAAGGGGGTTAACCTCTCTACTTTCCTCTGGAGAAAGGGAAACAGTAAATTTCAGGTCACGGAAATACCGCCTACATCACACAAACCCGGTACGCAGACCAGAATTACCCCACTGTATGCCATGCACTCCCCCAATAAACATAAACAGAGAAGAGAGAGAAACTGCCCACGTCCCTTTCTGCAGCAAGCAGTGAACCTGGGGCCGCATGCACAGCTGAGACCCAGCGAGGGTTCTCGGGGAGCTGGGGCTGGCCAGGGGCAGAGGAGGGGAGTCTAAGGAAGGGACGAGGAGGAGGAAGGTCTGAAATGACGCCTGGCTCCTCAGGCCCACGTGCAAGAAGGCATGCCTGGGGGGAACTCAGTGAAATGCCCTCCTCTCTCCTCCCCCAAGCAAGCGCTCCTAGCTGGCTTCAAGCCATGCTCTTGTTTTAAATCACTGTTAATGTCCTTGACAAATTGCCCCAGTAGTAGGCTCCCTTCCCTTCAGAACCTCCTTTCTATGGCAGTGGGGCCATTTTCCAGCAGCTCATCATCCACAAAGGAAAACAGGAAGCTGTGGCCACCAGGACCAGGACTCTGAGGAGCAGAAATGCAGCCTGGCTCCTCTGCCACTAGGTAGGAGGCAGGAACCCGGCCACCGGGCAGGGGCAGAGGGGCAGAGAGAGTCTTCCTTCGGGGACTAGAGCAGAGGACAAAGACGGCTGCCCTCCCACTCCCTAGAACTGCAGCCAGGCGGGCTGGGGACCGGCCTCCATGCCCGTCCATATCTAACACTGCCCTACACAATCCTCCGCAGTAAAAGCGGAGTTCCACTTCCTCCTTTATGCAAGTTACAAAGAGTGGGAAATTGCAGGCAGATAGTAGATGCTACATCATAATCAATAACCAGTTTTCAAAAAACTGGAATACAATAAAATGCAAAATAAAATAAGAAATAAGACTCTGAAGGCCCTTCCTTGGTAAGGCTTCAGATGTCTTCCTAACTATCCCCTCCCCACGGCTTGAGGGCAGTGAACAGCCTTGCAGTTCGGACTTGAGCTAAAAACCGATCAATCTTATCAAACTGTTCCACTAGATTTGCCTGGGAAGCGAACACAAAGCCTCAGGATAGAATGACGGTCATATTTCCCCCAGACTTGTCCAGCTACATCAGGTTCTACTGTAAATTTAGTAATTTACAGTTAAATAAAGGAACAACAGGCTTTTCAAAGGAACAACCCGGAAAGAAGCAATCTACCTAATTTTTTAAAGTGGCCTTTATATTATAGACCTGTTACTTTATTTAATATTCCATCTCAACTAGACACTCACTCTCTTCTTCAGGACCTCACACCCGTCCTTCATTCCACTTTGTGAACCACGTCTATCTCCTCCTTCCTGGCAGAGCTGAGACCTCTCGGCCAGCATGTGCTAAGTTGGAGAGCCCTGACACAGCCCCTCGGTGTGGTGCTCAGCCCAAAACACCGATATCAGACAGCCACGATAAGAAAGAACAGTCCGGGGACAGATGAACTCCAACAACCTAAACATGCACTTGCTCTGAACCCGTTCCTTTGAATTAGACCTGAACGGCTTAACACGATTATTGTGCAAACTAGATTGCGTCCGCCCCCGATGTACGGAACAGACATAAATCCATCCCTTCGTGACACATGGCTTGTTTCCCTTGGACTGCCGCTAACCACAATGGCTTTAATAGATAATTAGATCTCCCATCCAGTTATAGTTTTAAAAATGTATGTACAAAAGAACTCTTCTAAAACTAATGCCGTAACGCCATCATTTGGCGAGATGCCAGTGGCCCTAACGTGGGTGGGGAGAAACGAGAAGCTGCAAAGAAGCATCATTCGCATGGGGCGGACTCTCCAGGCTGTAAGGCCGTGGGGCGACTTTGGGATGGTGACAGGGGAGGCCGGGCGCGGACGGCAGGTAGCCGGCCGCCGTGAGCACGCAAGGTACCGTGTGTCTGGGAGACACGGCAGACCAGCCTCCGCCGCACGGAGCAGGCTTGGGAGAAGGCTGCCATGGGAGGCCACAGACTTCCCTTCTGCACGTCTGCCTTCCCGACAGATGAAGTAAGTGTGTGTCAGTGAATGTACGAGTGCCCCATGCCAGCGGCCCCCAGCCCCTGAGTCTACCCACCTTTGCTGCCCCACTCACGGTCCCTGCTGCAGGATGAATGCCGGTGCACCCACAAAACTCATATGCTGAGGCCTTAACCCCCAAGATGATGGTGCTAGAAGCTGGGGTCCTTGGGAGGATGACCTGGGTTTGGATGGGGTCATGAGGGTGGCACCCCCATGATGGATTAGTGTCCTTCTAGGAAGAGAGAAAGAGACCACAGCCTGTTCTCTCTGCCAAGAGAGGATGCAGCGAGAAGGCGGCCGTCTGAAAACCAGGAGGGAGCCCTCACCAGGAACCCAATCTGCTGGCAGCCTGATTTTGGACTTCCAGCCCCCAGAACCACGAGAAATAAATGTGCATTGTTTAAGCTACCCAGTCTATGGTATTCTGTTAACAGCAGCCTGAACGGACTAAGACAGTCCCCCCTCAGACAAAACCTAGCATCCTAACACAGATTTAAAACCCAGGTTGAATCCTGATCCTGCACTGAGCGCTCACGCCCCTAAAATACACGAGCTACTGCCTTCTGACATCATTGCACTCAGTGAGTTAATACTTCCATAAATACAGAAAAAAAAAATTTAATGGTATTACTTCTCTGCTTCACAGGAATAACCCCTGAGCTCGTTAGGAAACGACCGGCCCATTTTCCCCATTCCGAATCTAAACCTCAAAAGCTAAAGGCAGCCACCTGAAGCTGAAGGCCGTACTCACGTCCAGAGACTCCAGGCAGTACCAGCAGAAGGCATGCTTGCAGTTCTTGCACATCATCTGCGCACAGCCTTCGTCTCGCTCGATGTAGACCTTGCACTTGGGGCAGCGCTTGATGGGCGCGTCGTCCTCGTCCATTTTGAAAGCAGAGCTGTGGGAGAAACGTCGTGAGGGCGCTGGGCACAGGGCTCCCGAGAGAGGCCCAGCAGCACCGGCTGCACCTGAAGCATCGGCTCAACTATGGAGAATGAGGCCCCTCGTTCTTAAATGCAAAGAACCAAAGAGACGGAAACTCCAGGAAAAAATAAATAAATAACCGAAACACTGGGGAGGAGAGCAACCTCGGCACATTTCTAAATTTAGATAACTACAGACTAAAGAAAATATGGCAAAAGGCTTATCCCTAAGGGAGGTATCTGAGTAATGGTGTAATGGTCAAACAGTATGTCCTTGTTCATATATATGTCTGTTTTCTGAAAGTTGATAATAAATTTTATGCACTTTGCTATTATCAGAAAAAAAATGAATGTTATGAACACGTACAAATAAACACACATTATTGGCTAAGATAGATCACGATCCTGGCTCGTCTTATAAAACGGTTTTCCTGAGAAGTCTGGTTAGGTGTGCAGTGGTTAGGATGAAGGGCTTTAAGCCAAGGTCAAGTGCAGGATCTTCCACAAATCAGCTGGGGAACAACTCCCTGAGCTCCCGTTTTCTCATCAGCGTGAGCACAAGACAAGATTCTGTACGGAAAAAAGTACAGTGTAGAGTCCAGCTTGTGTGAAGTGCAAGACAAAAGTAGCAATAATTCAATGCAGCTAATGAAAAGATAACAGAGATATTTAGGTATGATTACAAAAGGATGTCCATCTGATGCGATTAATTTTAAAAAGACTACTTAAAAATATTTGTGAAAGTATCTGAAAGAAAAAATGATAAACTGTTAAGAGAAGTTAACACTGATTATGTATGTGGGTGCGTTTGCTACATTGTCTGAACTTGCTGCGTCAACCCAACTTCACCAGGAGTAAAATGACTTCCTTTTGGGGTGAGCAGATTTTTTGGAATTTAATACATTTATGAGTATATATTCACTGAAGTTGAGCAAATTCTGGCATTTTGCATGCATTCTGGCTGAAGGACTTCCCATAAGCATCATAGTAAATATAAAAATAAAATGTAGTTTCGCTTTAGTATGAGCTTTCTGACAATAGAAGCGAGCCTTCCTCCAGTGGAGGTGCATGCTCTGGGTCAGTGTGACTCTGTGTTGTCCACAAGCAGAAGGCAACAGGATAAGCCCTAGTGAGGGAAGCAGTAACCCCTGGAGTTAGGAGCACAGAGTTCTGTGGCAGAGAGACAAATCCTGGCTGTGCTACTTGTGTGTTATCTGCCTTAGTCTCTCATCTGCAGAACAGACCGAGGGGGCTGCCGGCACTGATCACTGTGGGGTGTTGTCAGGATTAAAGAGTTTGCACATGTCAAGTGCATACACACAGGAGCCTGCACGGCAAGTATCATGCACCCAACGAACAGCAGTTGTTATTAGTACCATTACCCAAAGATGACAAAACCATCTCTGGCTCAAATTCATCTCCAATTTAAAAGCAAGCTAAAGACCAAGCTGGCCACACAGAATGTGATTTAGAATAAACTGAGGTTACTAACAATGAGCAAATGAGATAGCCTGTGTGCAGATACCTCGAGAGGGACCCAGCACAGAGTCAGCTCTGAGCAAACCTTAACCTGGTTTCTTCTGAGACCCATTCTGATTCTGCAAAGGAGCCAGAAGTCATGAGGCACAGAATCCGGTGGTCAAGTTGATTATCAGGTTGGAGAACGTTGTTTTGTTTTGAAAGCCAGGTAGGTGTGAGCTGAGAGTTACGAAACCAATTTTCTCATGTGACTCACAAGCTAATTTTGAAAGAAATGCCACGAACGGTGGTGTACAGAGTGTCTCCTGGGGAGACTTTTCAAAATGGAAACAGTTAAAATATGCAAGTTCTGGTGCACTGCATCCTGCATAAAAATGTGCATGGTACAGACGATGGCTTTCAAACATCTCTTGGTATCTGAATTACATTTAAAATTATTATGAATGACAACTCACACTATAAACTCAAATTTATTAAGGCAGACAGGAGTCTCCGACAGCCTAATCGCAGTCGACATGCCCGGATGCCTGTGAGGGGCAGGCAGGGAATGCTAATGAGCCAAGCTGGTCGGGTGGATAAAAACACGGCTAAGGGGAAGATTTAACCTTTTTAAAAAAAAACCTCTACTACATGAAACATAGCTAGTGTCTTCTCAGTTACAAATGCCAGCTGACAGTTCCAGGGAGACAAGAGGGGGTGGTGAGGCCGGTGGGGTTTGCGCCCCATGCCCTGTCCACGGAGGGGCCCCGGCTCAGCCCCAGCTCGGGGTCAGCGCGTGGGGAGGCGGGCTCGGAGAGGCTGCGCACTCAGACTTCCCAGAGAAGCCAGAAATTCCTATTTTTAAACTTCCACGAAATGAGATTTCTGAACTTTGATTGAAATCGCCCTTGCGGCATGATTTAAACGAGACCAGAATGTCACGGATAAAGAAAAACCAAGTCACCAGGCCCCAAACACTCACCACCCTGCATCCTAAGTTTTGAGGTGCGGAAGACTCTAAGTACAAGGAGGGGATTCATGCCAGGGGCTGCGCCTGCTGAGGGGGGACACAGCCCAGACACGTGCAGGCCCCCTGTTGATGAACTTCCTCTGGCTGGGCTTGTAATCAATGCACAAGCTCAGTGGGGACAGAGGGGGGAGGCACCAACCTTGCCCTTGGAACCCAAGTGTGACAAACGGGATGTGAGCCCGTCCCCAAGGGAGGCAAGGAGGAGGAGAGAGGAGGTTCCAGGCACAGGGACAACTGTGCACAGGGAGGAAACAGGGACCCTGAGGGGCTCTGGGGCTGGAACAGGGCATGGGACCGGGGAAATTGCAACAGGAAGAGAGGAAAACGGGGCCGCTTGTGACAACACCCTTGGGTGGGGGTGGGCGCCCCGGCAGCTACTCTATCAGGAACTTGCCCTTCACAGGAATAGGGCAACTGCTTATTGGAGCCATGTGACCTGCAGATTTTTTTTGTAGGATACAGAGACCTGGATATTATGAATCTCATATGGTTCAACCTACTAAACCGTCAGGCACACAGTCCAGTGCCGCAGCGTCCGCCTGGGCAGGCAGCCCGGCCATCTGGCCGCGGGGGCAGGAGGCGGAAACTCAGGAGGAGTGTTTTCCCATGTCCCTCCCGACGGCCTTGACATTTCAGAGAGACGTGGCCACCTTGGCCTCAGGCAGCAGCAAACCTGTTTTGGGGGATCCTTCTGGTAATTACAAACTGCGCCCCCTACTCGTGTGCCTGTCCCTGCACCCCCACTCTGGACCATCTTCAACACGGGTGGAGTTTTAGAAAAACTTCAAGAATCGCAGGACTGAAAACCCTTAACAGTCATCGGCTGTGGGTGCACTCGTCGTTCCGGGCAGGCAGTGTCGAGTTCGGTTCTCACGCAACTTTCTACTTCCAGGGCCTTGCACAGCGCCTGGTGCAGAGTCAGTTTTCAAAAACAAACAAACAAACAAACAAACAAACAAACAAACAAACAAACAACCACAGGCCTCAAAGAGACTCAGGAGGGGGAGTGTGTCGGGGCTGACCCAGCTGCAGCGACAGCCGCCCGGCGGCACGCTCAGGAAGGAAGCACCCTCCCCCTCCCAGCCCGCAGCCCAGGCCTCTGGTGGCGGCTTGTGCGCTTGTGCGCGGAGGGTACCTGGTCTCCCCGGGGAGGAAGGTGACAGGCATGGTCTCTGGGCAGCCCTGGCCAGGGTGCCAGCTGGCCTTGCAGGTGGAGCAGAATTCCATGTGGCAGGCTTTGCACTGCACTGGCTGGGGGGTCTGCTGCCCCACGTCCTGGAGCTGACACACGGCCTGGCAGGTGGACGCCGGGCACCAGGTCCGACAGGGGTCGAAGAGCACCTCTGGCACAGGGAGACAAAATGGGCAAGTCAAACTTGGGGGGCCAGAGGGTCTCGGGGGTTCCAGAGGTGGGTCACGGGGTAGGGTGAGTGGCTGTTCCCCCACTCTACTCCACTCCAGCCCCTCCCGGCATCTCACCCCACACACAGGGGGCACAGCAGACCTCCAGACAGCCCAAGTGTCCCTCAGGGGTGCAGCTCCTGCCCCTAGAGCACCCTCGGCTCCCTGGGACACCCCTGCTCGCCCCCGAGGCCCGGCTCGCAGCTCAGGGGCCTCCATTCTCAGGAAAGCATGGCCTGCCCGCTCGTCTGTGGTTTCTCTGAGCCGACACAGGCCACCACGAACCACGTGTCCTCCTCTGCCTCCCCCAGGGGACAGGTGCCTGCAGTGAGGCCCCTGCCTGCGTCCGGTCTCCGCACACCCGGCCCTGTGCTCGGCACACAGGCAGCTCTCAGAAAGGAGGGAAGGAAGGCACTGGAATTGTTCTTCTAAGCAAAGGGTTCATCAGCCGAAGCTTCTCTCCTCGCCCCAGGTTAACACGCTAGCTGCCACACGAGCGGCATTCAGCCCACGCTAGCTTTGGGCCCGGGGCCGCCTGGAGCAAAACCTTGCAGTTGGTTCATGAAAATCTTACTTGTTGATGTTCTGACTGTTACCCATTAATATCGACAATTTACATGGCTTTCGTTGCATATAACTCACACGCAGAAAACAACAGAAAAGAACAAATCAGAAAGGATCGCTTTGTTTTAATAAAACACCATGGCCCCAGGGAAATCGTTCTTCCCTAGTGTGGCAGGCAGTGTGTTAAACCTGAGCCGGGACCTAATTACTACACGAAACTAACCCTTCGAGGGCCAGGTTTCCTCTGATTGGAGCGCGAGATACCAAGAAGCCCAGGTTAAAGGGATTAGGACGGTTATTTTTAAAAACAGGATGCCGTGACATACACGCCTATTGCTTTATGTCCTCGTCCAGAAAGTGCATTTATTCAAATAGCGGGTACTGAGCCGCCCTTTGCTGTGAACCTGGTCATGGATTTCATTTTCGGTTTTGTCCTGTGTGAGGCTGACTCCCCAACGAGGGGACGGTGGGGAGGAGCCACACGGATCGCTAAGGCTGTGCCAGGAAGCGCCTGCAGTCGACAGAGCTGGGCTGCTACCAAAGGCCTTCGAGCAGGGAGCAGGCCACCGGCCCCTGAGCTTTGCAGCAGGGCTCTTCCTGGGAAGTCATCAGGACAAATGAACTTTCCTGGGGAAACTTGGAAGGCTCCGAAATGCCCTTGCAAACTTTCTGGCCGTGCGGCCGGCAGGCTCAGCTCGCCGGCATCACAAATGGGTGCCTGTGAACTGGGGCTGTAGGACGCGCTGGGGCTGTCCCTGGGCCACATGCGTGTATGCCAGTGCGTGTTTTACCACGGCCAAATAAACAAGGATAGCCGAGTCAGGCCTCTAGGAAAAGGCATGTGTCAGGTGTAACCTTGAAAATCATCTAACCAAGGGCAGGCAAACTTTTTCTGTAAAGGGCCAGATAGTAATTATCTAAGTCTTCGAGGGCCACGCAGTTTCTGGGTTTTAGTCTCAACCACTCAGCTGTGACACTGTAGTGCAAAAGCTGGCACAGTGATCTGAAATGAGCCTCTAGTACAACATAAATCACAGCAGCAGACCCAGGCTGGGCTGGATGAGGCCCCCTGGCTGTGCCTGGCCGACTCCTGATCTCATCTAACTAATCCCTGCCTTTTTCTTAAAAGGTGCATTAATCAACAGTGCAAAGCTACCAAATTATCAGTTCTGGCAGAAGATTAAGAAAAACAAGATAAGAGAAAGGACTCTGCAGCGCAGGACATGTGTCCCTCTTTAGTTGATCTTCTCTGTCATGTTAACATAAAATCTCCAGCATGCCTAACACTGAATGAATAAAGTAGCTCTTGTCTTATTCATTGACAGTTTCAGCCGTTGCTTTTCTAAGCAAGCTCCCAGCTGTCAGATCTGACGAGGAGGCTTTTTGGGAAAACACAGTCGTGGTCTGTGGGGCACACGTGTGGGGACAGATGCCTGTATGTTGCCTGAGCTGTGGGGACACAGCAAAGCGGGGAGGGGGTGCCCGTGCCACTCAGGTGGCCTGAGTCCCCTCCCACACCCTGCCTGACTCATGCCCTGTGAATGCAGCCACACGGCTGGGCCTGCTACCTGTGCATGCTCTAGGGTGAGCCTGGCTTTGCCCCAGACGAGGTAAGAGGTCCTATACCTGCACAGCACCTGACGCAGGCCCTGCAGGGTGACGCAGGCCCTGCAGGGTGATGCAGGTTCTGCAGGGTGACCCAGGCCCTGCAGGGTGATGCAGGCCCTGTAGGGAGATGCAGGCCCTGTAAGGGTGACCCAGACCCTGCAGGGTGACGCAGGCCCTGTAGGGTGACGCAGGCCTACAGGGTGACGCAGGCCCTGCAGGGTGACACAGGCCCTGCAGGGTGACATAGGCCTACAGGGTGACGCAGGCCCTGCAGGGTGACACAGGCCCTGCAGGGTGACATAGGCCCTGCAGGGTGACGCAGGCCCTGCAGGTAGACGCAGGCCCTGTAGGGTGACCCAGACCCTGCAGGGTGACGCAGGCCCTGCAGGCTGCAACGTGCTAAACAACACACGATGCAGGCAGAGAAACCCTCAGCCTGCTCTTTGCTTTCTTCCCAACGTGGCACTGCGGTGACAGCCTGTATGGACTGCGTTCCCACTGCTCTCCCCGCCCCTCCTCTGGCTCTGAGGATGCAGCAGACTGCCCAAAGCCCCGTCTTCTCACTGACGTGCCTGGCAGGTGCCGCGTCTCATCCATTCTCCTGGCACAAGAGGGGGAAGGGCATGACACACCCTCATCGTGAAGGGCCCATTGTAGCACGGAGTGGCGAGCAGGGCAGACCCAGCCATAGTTTCCATGGGAACGACTTAAATTTCATGACTTTCGTCCTCCTAGAGCTGTCACAGGGCACTGCCTGTTCCCAGGTGGAGAGAGGACAAATACCTGTTCAATCTGCTAGCCGCAGACACCCTCCCCGTGCGGCCAGGACTCAGCCCACCTGTGAACACGGCCCTGAGGCTCGGGCACAGACTTCTACCAATATTCCACGTCACCCTCTCTACGGCTGAACTCCCAGCTGCGTGCAAGATGAAACCCAACTGAAGAGAACATCCACTGAGAGCAACGCTAGGAAGTTTTTCTTTTCAAAATCCATATCTATCTCTCTGTCACATATATGGCCAATAATATACATTATACGTTATATCCTATATGGTTCGCTACATCTACAACATTGTATATGTGTGTGTGTGTATGTGTGTGGTACACATATTTTCAAACAAAGCAAACAATACACTTTCTGGCACACCGGGAGAAACTAATCACAACAACAATCTCCTGAAGATTTAAATTAATAATACATTAATGAAGGAGGTCCCTAATAGGCCTCTACTAAAAAAAATTCAAGACTCTTTAAAAAGGTGGTTTTCTTTTTTGGAAAAACGGACGCCTACTTTCCGACACACCAGGCAAACGACACCCTGCACGCTCGCTCTTGCCGCACTGCTGGGCCTGGCGGGTGCCCTGGTACCGAGACCGGGGTGGTGGCTTTTGTCTCGTTGTGAGACGGCCTCAGTTTCGGCAGTCCTTGGCTCTGGGTAGGCCCGATTACTGGTGGGTAAAACCAGCATATTCTTCCATCTCTCTGAGCTTTACTTTCTCTTAAAATGCAAAACCAGACAACACAAGACCAGACCCCACTGCAGTCTTTGTGCTGCCGGGCAGTCTGCTGGGGCAGAAGACAGGACAGAGCCCACGTGCCCGTCTCTGGGATGGCGGGGCTTCGGGTCAGACCCGCACGGACGTGAACGCATGCATTGAGCACGGACAGTGCAGCGGGGCATGCAGGAGGAGTGATCCATGCTGCCTCTCTCCAAGCCTCGTCCCCGCCCCAGGCCCTCGAGGGACCGGGCAGAGTAGGTGGCCTGAAAGGAAAACAGCTCCTCAGCCCCCTTCCCTGGCTTCCTGCTTGCCAAAGCCCCAGCCGGAGAAGGGGAGAGGTTTACACTAAAATCAAGGCTGTTATATTGCAGGAGACAGTCTAAGACGAAGTGGAGACAGTGTATGCAACTTAAACTAACCACCGGACTCCTGGGTAACTAAATGTTTTCAGAAAATCACTGAACTGTCTGAGTTCTCTTCCAGGGCATCCTCCACTGGCTGGATTTTTTAGAGCCACAGAGAAAGTCAAGATGTGCTTTTTGATCCTGTCTCCAAGCTCATGCAAGGCGCTGGCTATAATCCACAGCTCTATTTTAGCTCTGACGTTCCAGCATTTCATCTAGACAGGTCTTAGTTGTATTAAGTCTGAATTCTTTTTTGTAAAAAAAAAAAAAAAAAATTAACATGTAAAATGTTTTAAACTGATACGTTTAAGAGGTATTTTTTTAAGCCTAAGTAGGCTTCATGTTTATGCAAAAGGGGGAAAAAAACTTTTTTGACTAAGCCAAAGTACAAAAGAAATAACAGTTAAAGTTATTAGTCAAAAAAAAAATTTACCCAGCTGCATTTTTAAATTAAATTCAATGTCATACAGAGTTCATATTCTTATAATCCAAAAAACTGCCAGTTTTTGTCAAGATTCTCTCTGGAAAATATTTTCAAAAGAGCCTCAAAGTCTCAGCAACTCAAATCAATCAATTTTATAGCTCCACATGCTGTCTTTTGCACCAAATAGCATTATATTACAGCCATAAACTGCCTCAAAGCAAATGATATATGCCATTTAAATAAAGGAGCTCTTGAAAACAAACTTCAATGCCATCAAAAACAAATCCTATTTCATGTTTTTTCTTAAGTTGGCTTCTATTATATTTTTCTTAGAGATGGGGTCCCACTGTGTTGCCCAGGCTGGACTCCACCTCCTGGGCTCAAGCAATACTCCTGCCTCAGCCTCCTGAGAAACTGGGACTACAGGGACCCGCCACCATGCCTGGCTATGGTTAATATTTCTTTAAAATATTAAAAACAAACCGCCCCCACACTGTGCCAACCCAGGAGTCTCTGGATACTTTCCTCTGGTCTAGTCTGCCTCCCGGCCCCATCCTGACAGGTTGTCACGTGAGCACGCCCTCCAAGGTTGCCGCCCAGGGGTGAATGGGTGAATCCGCAACCCCATCCCACCCCCAACCAACCCCTGATCCCGGCAGGGACCTGAGCACCAGTCCAAGAAGGGGCAGAGCAGGTGTCAGCGACCACGGACTAAGCTGAGAACCTGGGAGCTGGCACGCAGCGTCCCCACAGTGATGTCCTGAGAGAGGGGCAGCATCACCTGCACACACCTGTCCCTGGGCTCTTCTGCAGATGCACCTGCGGCCCAGAGCATATATGGAAACACGGCCAGACAGAGTTCACAGGCGCTGTACAACATCCCTGTGTGATCCTGGAGTGCTTCAGAGAGCAAAGATAGAGACCTCCCTTGGACAGTCAACATGTTTTGCAGTAGGGTCCCCACCATGATGGTAACACTGCTCCGCCCACCCTCACCACACCATTCTCCCCGGGGACCCCCGAGCGTCTGCATCAGGCCTGGCTCCCTCAAGGAAGGCCGTGCAAGGCTCAGCAGGAGGGGGTCACAGCTAATGGTCAGGGTGTTTGGGCCCCAACCACCCCTGGGAGTTAGAATCAGGGAAACTCAGCCTCTCTGGGTATCGGTTTAACAGATAATGAGAAACCAGCCTCCCAGGATTGCTGTGGTCCTTCCTGGAACGAGAGGCCTGATTATTCATTCAGCGCCTACTATCTAGGCCTGCACCACTCGGGGAGTCAGTGCAGACTGAACACCCGCACTCGCTGTTAGCAAGGACGGCACTCACTGCAATTGCTACTCGGACTTCCTCCCACACCTTTTTACCCTTCACATCCAGGGCCGGTCTAAGAGCTTAGCCTTCAAACTGCCAGCCCTTAAGCCGGCTGAAGAATAATGCTGCAAGAGTCATCATCTTTAACCCACCCCCAGAGGCCTCGGTCCTCTACACCAGTGCATTTCATGAATTCTTCCTGCCACCAAACAGATCACCAGCCAAGGTCTTCCAAACTGTGAGCTGTTCAGAGAATTCAGAGTGTCAGCTGAATTCCAGAAGTTCAATTCATATCAACGTTTCCACTCCTACTGCAGCCTTTCCGCTCCTATCAAGTGACAGACAATCTTATCCACCAAAAGAACCCCCCCTCACGTTATCCACCTTCTGTTACAGGAATCACAGGACCAGGTCACCTACCTCTTTCAAACTGTAGCTTTTTATATCTTTGCATAATTTCGGCCGCAACCATGCACTCGATCTAAGGGGGAAAAAAAGCAAACAAGAGTCAGCTGGAGGCATTACAGAGAATATAATGCAACGTAAGCCTAAACAGAACCCACATCACCCTGAGAAGCTAAGCGGGGCACGCTAGCATCCATCAGACAGACCCGACTGCTCATGGCACGTGCCTCGTTCTCCTGCAGGTGGCCCTGCTTAGGGCAGGCAGCGTCAGGGCAGCTAATTGCAGTCTCTAATCCTTCTTTGATCAAGAGCTCAACGTATTGTTTCAGGCACTGAAAGAAAAACAGAGACAGGTCTGTAAGTATCTTTATGTCCTTAATGCCAAAGAAATAGGGATGCATTAAAAAAAATGGCCAAGCACATTGCTCCATCACAGTTTGATATTTTCACTGTGCAGCCCATAGCAACACCCAAATTCGAGGTTTAGAGCTTTTATTTATTCGACAGATATTTAGGGGGTACCTATTCTGCGCCAGGGACTGTATGCCAGTTGGCAAAGTTAAGGCTGCAGGCTAGATCCCTGCACACACCCTCAGCAACACCCAAAGCCAACAACCGTAACAGCAAGAAGAAAGGCAGCAAGGGAGGCTGGGAAGTAATATTTCTCGCATGCATATGAGATGTCAGGCACCGTACTAAACTCTTTATCTTCCATTGTCTCATTTAATCCTTGGGACGTTTCTAAAAGAAAGGTTTGACTGTTCCATCTTTCAGATGTGAAAACTGAGGCACCAAAGAAGGAACTTGCTAGCTCACCCAGATAGTAAGGGCGGAGCCTAGATTCGAACCCAAGCTTGCTCGGCTGAAATGCCCATGCTCTGCCGGCTGAGAAGCCATGTACATTGGCACTCCTCCTCGTTAGTGACTTACTAGGCAACTACTGACTGCCAGCCTTGCCTACTTGGGAGTATTGCTCAAGATCTGAAGTGAGTCAAAAAGATGGAGCGGAGGATGCAAAGTACAGTTAACGTACAAGGTTCTCTGTCCTTTCTCTGTACTGATGTACTCTTGCTTTAGAGTCTGCTAGTCTTGGAAATCTAGTGTTTCCCTGAAAAGCACATTAAAAATAGCAACGGGAACACAAGATACGGTTTTCCCCACGTAGGCTCATTACCAAAAGAGACTCGAGTCAAACTTTGAAGCGCTTATGCAAGAACTCAAAGAACATGGGGAAATGAGGCCCTGAAAACAATGTAAACATCTCAACAGCAACTCCAAATCAACTTTAAATCATAGTCCTACATCCAAAGTTCATCACAGCAACACTATGATAATAATACTAAAATATTATAATGGGAATTCATCAAGAAAAGTCCATAAGCTTTTGTGAAGCTGCTACCTCATCAAAAATAACGTATTATTATAAGAATGCATGGTTATTATTAATGAGTGGGCCTAAACTGAAATCAAACTGCAATTCCTACAACTTCTACGTTTAGAACAAGTCTATTTCTCTCTTTCTCTCTGTCTGACTACCACCCTCATTGCCCTGATCTTCGATTTTGGGTGGTTTAATCTACCGTGCAATATAGTAGTAAGAATTTTATGCAAGGAAAAGAGTCTAGAAGAATACATGAAAAAGAGTGCGTGCTTGATATGTAAAGACTGATTTAATCTAAATGGGTAATTCTCCCCATTCTAGCAAACCAGAATATTTCATTTATTAAACACTAGATAGCAATTTTTTTTTTTTAGAAAATAGAAATCAAGGCCATCCTCAGAAAGAGTCATTTCCCAGAGCTTTTCTTCAAAAGCTGTAACTTCACGTACATAACTGCACTGCTGGTGGCTCTCGGCAGAGGGCCGGGGTGTCAGCCTGGGTTCCTGCCCGGGCCCTGACAACGGCAGTGGCCCTAAACTTAGATCACGCACAAAACGCCTACATTTTGCCAATTCCAGGGTTCTGGAGCGAGTCCCCAGGGCAGTGAGCATGGAGGAGCCCAGTCTTGGAGTTCTGTTTGAGGCACAGAATAGCAGTTTTCAGAGATAAATGCATTAAAATCAAGGCAAAGGCCTTCCCCAGATCCAGCACGAGGAGGGGCGAAGCCATAGAGAGGAAGATGGTGAGGAAGAGAGAGGAGTCAGGCGCTGGCCAGGGTAGCTTCAGCTGACCTGCTGCCAGGCAATGCCCCTGTGTGTGGCTCAGTGGCGTGGCGCAGTGCTGCAACTGCGGCCTGTTTTCAGCTGGCCCGGGAGTGGAAGGTCCTGCTCATGGCCAGGTGCAAGCTGGTGAGGGAGAAAAACCCCGGCTTTGGAGCCAGGTGGACTCAAGCAACCCTCACCCCTCTAGTCGGAGGCCACGAACCAGTTGCTTGAAAAGTTTGAACCACGGCTCCCTAGATGAGAAAGTAGGGATGTCCTTCTTGCTAGGCTTTTGTGACGGAAAGGAATAAAGCACAGAAAAGCACCTGCCACAGTGCTTGGTGCACCAGCTAAGGAAACGGTGGCTGTTGTTCTCTCCCATCTGTCTATCTATTTTTTTCACACGAAGATCCTGTTGGCTACCAATGAGCCTAAGAGCAGGAGAAAATGCCCATAAACTGCACTCAAAGGTGCCTATCAGGGACCCACGACTTGCCAACCCACGCAGGCGGGTCCAAACTAAAACAGTGCACCCCACAAGCAGTATGCAAGGAGTGAGGACCCTGGGAGTAGACGGACAGTGGATGGACGGACGTCTATCTGTGTGATGTTTCTTACGATTAATTATACGCATTAAAAAAAAAACCCAAAACCTTAGCAACAAAATCATTATTTTACTTTCTATAATCAAGTTTGTCTAGATTGAGTCTCTGGAGGACACTCAAATGCCGTAAACTGGTGGTCCCCGACCCTTGGGTCGTGGGCTGGTACCAGCCTGTGACCTGTCAGGATTGGGCCACAGAGCTCTGGTGCAGCCCCAGCCCCCGTCCGTGGAAAAATTGTCTTCCATGAAACTGGCCTTAACCAATGCAATGCTGAAAACTTTCACGATATTGTGCAGAACAGTATATGATGATAGAACATTATTCTTCCTAAGTGGCAACATACAACGGGTGTGAAACATACCTCCTGGGGAAGTCTCTAAGCACCATTTTCCAAGAGCTTGCACATGGCAACAAGTAGTGAGTCATGTCTGGCTGAAGGCTACCCCCGAGTGAACATTCTATGTCATCAGAATGCATCTATCTGTGCAATTTGCAAAACGATTATGTTCTGGGAACATCAATTTGTCCACTCTATAAAGAGAGATGAGGATCCGAGGGCCTGACCTTGCATCCATCAAAAACAAGCCCAGCCTTCTTCCAAATATAAACTGGGCCATGCATGACTCACAAGCTAGGCTCTTCAATCTAACACCAGCAAAAAGATGTCTTGAAATGAGCTAAAAAAAAAAAACAGGTAAAAAAACCCATAAAAATATAAGGTCTAAAAGCAGATTGTGATACATTTTTCTACTATCATATTAAGTGCAGATATCAGTAATCAAATACCTTCTAAGTACCAGACACTACGTTAATCACTTTACCTACATCAGCCCAATAAACATGCACAAGAATAGTATGAAGTTTTATAGATGAGAAATCCAAGGCTCGGGGAAGTTCAGACCCAGCCCAAAGTCATCATGTTCAAGTAGGGGCACCAGGTCATTCCCATGGGTGCCTGGTTTCAATGTTGGTGAGGGTTTTTTTTTTTTTCTCATTTGTTTATTTTTTTAATTTTTTGCTTACTTTCTCCTCAATTAAGAAATCTTTTGAATGAAGAGGTTTGGAGAACTAATGTACAACACAAGGACTGAAGTTAATACAACCGCATGGTATCAGGGAATGCTGTCAAATAAGTAGATCTGAGCTGGAGCCTGCCACCAAAACAAAGTAACTATGTGAGACGATGGCTGTATTAATCTATACTTCACCATAGCAACCATTTTAGTATCTACAGGCATTCCTAACATCATTACCATCATGTTGTGAACCTCCAACTATATGAGATAAAATTTATCTCCAAAAATCATTCATAAGCATTATGTATAAGTATTTTCTGCACCTCATAAAGTTTTTTGTAGAACAAAGAATTGTCCACACTTAAACCGGAGAAGTCTGAGTCACCCCAAGTCACCCCAGAGCCAATCTCCTCCTACCTGTTCAAGACACTGCAAATGCAAAGATGATCCAGACATCAGACCCTCCCGCCATAGCCGTGCGGGGAAGGATGGTCTGCACATCGCTATGACAACGCCCCGAGTTCAGCGCTTGAATGGGCCACTCTGTGGAGGGACTGAGGCTCTTATCTCGCACCCACGGGGCAGGCGGAGGTCCCACCGGTGCGGTCAGGGAGGGCTGCCCGAGCAAAAGCCAGCCAGAGGGCAAAAGACATCCAGAAACAGGCCAGCAGCCGTCCAACAGGAAGAGGGGGGCACGAGCCCGCAGAATGTTCCAGCCATTCATTTTCCACTTTGGCTTCCAACCTTTGAAACCTGATGAGGAACG